GGGGAGAGTTGTAGTAATTTCCTGAAGTGCTACTCCACTTCGTAAATGGGCCCTCTTCAAAATGCTTCTTATTAACATAATTACAGTGCTTTGAGGTCTCTTATGGTTTTAAAACATTCTTCTAGCTTGATTCATTCAAGTTCTCTTGCAATTTTGACCAGAAATTAGATGATTTTCCTTAGGATTTAGAATCTCTAGAGCACATCTATTTGTTCTGAACACTGAGTATGAGAGGGTAAATGAATACCCAGAATTGCACATTCTGTTATAGCTGGAAATCTTCACTTTCACCTCTGTGTAAGAACATCTCAGTGTTCTTACAAGGCGACTCTTGCAGCATAAACTGTCTGAAAGCTTTTCTTGAGAGCTCCAAATGAATCATCAACCAAATTTTCAATATTGTGATTAAATACTTCATAAAATATTAAGCTGCATTTGTACCTTCATTGTTTTAGCAAGTGTTAAATTTGGTTACAGAGAGCGAAAGAAGAGAATTGAGAAGCCCCGAAGGTTCAGCAGGAGCCACAGCCGGAGCCCGAGCCCGCCGCCGTTCCGGGGCCGAAACACAGCCATGGATGCACAGGAGGCCTTAGCCAGAAGGTCAGAAATTGGGGTGCTTTTCATGATATGTGACATGAATAAGCTCCTAATGTTGATTTTTCATGTGTAAATATTTTTATTTTTGTGTATCTCTAGGCTGGAAAGAGCAAAGAAATTGCAAGAACAGAGAGAGAAGGAAATGGTTGAAAAACAGAAGCAACAGGAAATGGCTGCAGGTAGTGTTTGTGTATGAGGTGAATTCTGAGCAGTAGCATGAATGGAAGATAGATGGGCTTACAGGAGTGTTGCAGTCCTACCCAACATATAGACAGATTTCTTAATGGAATTGTTAATAAGAAAAACAACAAGAACTAGAAAATATTTTTAAAAAACAAAACTAAAAATAAGAAACAAAACCCCAACAAAAATGATTGGGATTTCTTATTGCTTACTGAGTGTGCAAGAAAAATGTTGTGTGTTTGGCTATTAAGTGATTTCATGATGGCCACTGAGCTGCTCTTTGCTCAGGGGTGTTTAGAACCACAAAGTGCTTTGGTTTCACTTGGAGTTTCTGGTTTACTAAAACTCCTGGAGATACATTTCTTAGTTGAAAAATCACATCTCACTTGTTACCTGTGCACTTCCAACTTCTATTGAAGGAAAGAATGTTTGGGTGGTTTGGCTTTTTTGTTTGTTTCTGGGGCAGGTTGGTGGTTGGCTTTTGTTTGTGTTGGGTTTTTTCCCAAAATCCAAAGTTCTCCCTTTGTTCCCTTTATTCCTCAGCGGCCGCAGCCACGGGAGGCTCCGTCATCAACGTGGCCGCTCTGCTGGCCTCGGGGACACAGGTGACCCCCCAGATTGCCATGGCAGCTCAGATGGCAGCACTCCAGGCCAAGGCACTGGCAGAGACTGGCATAGCTGTGCCCAGCTATTACAACCCTGCAGCAGTGAACCCCATGAAGTTTGCTGAGCAAGAGAAGAAGCGGAAGATGCTTTGGCAAGGCAAAAAGGAAGGGGTAATGTTGGCTTTTCTTCCCTTTTCACTTCAGTCTGCATTTCTTGATGTTTGTAGATGCTGCCCAGGTTCCAGACAGGAGGAGGAGAATATCTGAATGCCATGGGAAGTGGCTGTTGTCAAGTTAGCCATTATCCCCAGTTAGCTGTTGCCCCAAATGAGTAATAATAATATTTAAGTTTAAAAAATTATAGAAACACCTTTATGCATCTCAGCTTGCTGGTTATGGCAAATCTGGGAAAAGTGTTTGGGAACACTTGTTTGGGAATATCTTGCACTCAGTTTAAGAATGCTAATGAGTGTTACTTCCAGCTTTCATATCTCTTCTCTTAGCAAGTTCAAACATCAGCCTGAAATGAAACTTAAGTAAAACTAGGAGTTGGACTTTGACGATCCTTGTGGGTCCCTTCCAACTCAGAATATTCTGTGATTTAGAAGTGAAAGGACTAAGATAATTGGTTTTTCAGTGACAAATGGTTGTGACACAAGACTCAAGGAAACCCTGAATATCATAAAGCTTCAGAGGTGTACTTGGATCATAGTGTTATTTTTGTGAGTTTTCCTACAGCTTGTAACTAAACATCAAACCCAGGTGGTCTCCCTTTACTGGGGAGGGATTGCTGAGGTCTGGAATGTGTAACCCCTCTTTTGTGGGACTGTAGAGATTTCTCACATTGTGTCCTCTCCAATTGCAAATTTCAAAGGCAGGTCTGTCGACCTTGCTGGTAACATCTCAGGAGCACAGTAATGCAATATTAACCTAAGAAAAATCATAAATACAAATAAGCCTTCAGGCTTTTGTGCTCTGTCAAATCCCTTTGCAATTAGTGAAGTAAGAAAGGCACCTGTGGCAGTTGTTTTTTCAGAAAGTTGCTGGGTTTTAGTTGAGCTTTTACCTGCTGATACTGTGGAAAAAATGGCCACTATAATATTTGTATTTTTGTCTTTTGTTCGTCTGGAAAAGAGGTGTTTGTTAGGCTGTTTCCATCTTGCAGCAGTTACACAAGCAGCTCCCTTACCTTTCCAGACTGTTCCTAAGATGTGCCAAACAAACCAGTTTCCATGGCAATGCTGGGAGACAAAAGGGAGGGCAGGAGAACCCTGAGGGCTCTCTGGGCACTTCTTCCTGAATTGTGCTGGATATTGATCAACTGCAATAAACAAATTCATTTTACCAGAATTCTGAATTCCAACCAAGCTTCCACACCTTTGGAAATGCCAAAGGAAGGAACATTGCTGTGTTTTGAACATTATGGTTAGAAAAGCTTTCCTCACAAGGAGCTCCTGTGAGGATGCTGCAGGAGGAATGTCACACTTGGAAACCTTTTACTTCCAGCTGTGGTACAGAATGGATTTGTCTCCTGCATTGCTCTGTTGTGCTATTAATGGAATCTTATGTAAAAATGTGACACTTTTTATTTTTTAAATCTGAACAGGACAAATCACAGTCTGCAGAAATATGGGAAAAACTCAATTTTGGAAACAAGGACCAAAATGTTAAATTCAGAAAACTGATGGGCATTAAGGTAAAGAATTCTGAATATGTAATTAAGTTGATTAATTGCAAGATAATGATTTCACCTTCTATTTTTAGTGTACCTTATCCAGTAAAGATTTTAAGTTAACCTGATGTAGTTAAGAGCTTTTAAGTATTTCAATATAATTAAAAAATCAACTGAGTGAAGGCCTGTGTGTTTCTTGAGAGAGAAGATCTGCACTAGAATGTTGCAGCAAAAAACCCAAATGCTTGAATTGTTACTTTTATAAGAATTTCAGAGCCTCAGCTGCCAGAGCTGATGTTTGTGTTGTGTTTCCAGAGCGAGGATGAAGCTGGCTGCAGCTCCGTGGATGAGGAGAGTTACAAAACCCTGAAGCAGCAGGAGGAGGTGTTCAGAAATCTGGATGCACAGTATGAAATGGCCAGATCACAGACTCACACACAAAGAGGAATGGGATTGGGGTTCACATCTTCCATGCGAGGAATGGATGCAGTTTGAAAAATGAAAAACAAACAAACAAACAAAAAAGGCTGTTTTGAAGTTTGAGACTGTGGAAGGTTCTTGTTCACATGTTGGGTCCTTGTTCACCAAAAAGCTAGCATTCTAGCTTGCATGGGTGTTGCATTGACTTTAATTTATTGAAAAATACAATTTTTTTTGTAAATATCAGATTAGTGATACTGGTGTTAGTGTTGTAATCAGGTTATACCCACTTCCATTAAACTTGACAGAACTAGAGGAGGACAGTATTTTTTAGTTAAAGTTCTACTTTTCAAACCAAGCAGCAGATGGGAAGAGCTCATACATGGATATTTCGTGTCCACTGTCTTGTGTACTTTTGTACTTTAACCTTGTACAGTTATTTTCAATTCTTGAAACATGAAAGAAACATTGTGTAGATGTTATTTAGCGGTCTGGGCCAATAGGCACATAATCCAGTGCAAAAAAACTGGTTAATAATAAAGACATTTTTTTTCTCTAAGGTCATATAGTAATTTGTCCTTTGGGCCGAACTCCCATAAATAATTTAAGAGAAGGGAAAAGTGAAGGAGGTTTTGCTTTGGTTCTTTTGAAGTAGGGTTTGCCTAAAATACTGCAGTGAGGGGCCTTGCTGCAGATGCCCTGTTTCAAATACTTTTGCCCTGCACTCTGCTCTCTCCACCGCTCACCGGTTCTCAGAATAGGAAGGAAAACTCCAAAATCGGGAGCGGTGCCGGTTTTGGAGGCAGGAACGCGTCCTCCATTGTGAGTACGACAAGCGCTGCGGTGCCGCCTCAGCACCGCGCCGCCTACACCTCCCAGCGTGCACCGCGCCTCTCAGCCCTCTGACTCNAACTGTTTTGTAAACTTCCTCTTGGAAAAGATACAAATCAATAAAATATTTTTACATGTTTTATTCATATAAAAATATTCCTTTTGTCAGCTGTGTCCTGGTTCAGGGCAAATTTTGGAGAGAATCCCCAAAGGTTCTGCCCCCTTCATTCTCTGGGACAAGTCTTAAAGGTGCAAAGCTTATTGTTCAGCATAAACAGAACAAGACAGCTGGGGATAAAAGCATCATATAGTCAACCTAGGACATGGTTCTTGTCCAGTTTCCTCTCCCTTTTTCTTTTTTCCTGGAAGAAGCAATAGCCCTCAGTAAATTACTGTTACACAGGAACAAAATCACAACATTTCTTGGAACCCAGCTTCAGTAACTGAGCAGCTTTTTGCTCTTGACCATTATTTATGCTGCATCTCAGAGCAGTCCTGATGCCCAGTTGTGAGGGGGGCAATGGAACCTGAGGAGCAGCTGTGCAGGAACACCCAGTTACCTTTCATGCCTGTGTCTGATGCATTTGGTCACTGTTCTGCCTCTCTGCATTTCAGAACCTTCTATCAATACTTCCATTCCAAGCTCCTGCTCTTAAATCCTGTGGATTTTTCTTAATTAACATCAATAATAATTCTGTGCTGTTACAGGTGAAGTTGAAGCAGAAGATGAGGGCTCTCCCAAGCCCAGACGTGTCACTTATGACGTGTCCAAGCTGGTGAATTACCCAGGCTTTAACATCTCCACTCCCAGTGGCATCCCAGATGTAAGCAGCTGTTCTCTGCCTTCTGAATGTGCTGAGGGACAGAAACTCCTTTTAACCAAGAGTAAATGTTCTGTATCTGCATCTGACAGATTCCCTTTTAAGAGTCTCATCTTTTTAAGCCCTTAATTACATTTGTAATGAATGTGACAACTGATGCTTGTCATGATTCTTGTCCTGGGGTCTGGCAGTGCTTCTGTGGGCATTATTTCCATTATGAGTTCAATAGTTTGGTGTTTTTTAAGCACAAAACTTCTCACATTCATGGCTTTTTTTCCCTTGGAATATGAAAATCACTGTCCATGTTTCCATAATTATAATTTTGATTATGAAAAATTATATCAGTCAGTGCACAACTTCTGCCAAGCTCTGTAACAACTGGAATTAAACAAGTGATAGCAAAGAGCTACATGGTGGGTGCCCTGTGAAGCACAGAGCACACAAGAAATCCCCTGTGGGTGCTGCACTTCCATCTTCAAAAGCGTTTTAACCTCCTGTCAGTGAATTCCATCACTGCTCTGAATGCCTGAGCATTAAAAAGAAGCACTTGTGCATTTGTACCTTTACATTTGCCCATTTAGTGGCCTCCAAATGTGTTTTTTCATTCAGTGTTATTAACTAAAATTCTGTTCTTAACCAATCATATGCAACATTATTTCTCTTTTCTCTTTGTTTCTCTTTTTGCTGTAGGAGTGGCAGATGTTTGGTTCCATCCCCATGCAGCCATCTCAACAGAAGGATGTTTTTGCTCACTACCTTTCTAATTATCAGGAGGTGAATATATTTCCTTGTTATTAAAAAAAAAATGTTGTCTTTTAGTTAGTGTAGGTCATGATGATTTCTTGCTTGCATCTTCTTTCTGCACAAGATGACAGACTTTTTATTAAAGACACTAGTGAGGGTGAAATGCTCATCTGGCTTATCTGTTTTAATAAAAAATGGCTTAATGTTTAAAATTATCTCCATTATTTCACTTAATAGAAGCAGATCCCAGTTGTGCAAAGATTTGTAAGCAGTTTGGAAAAAAATTGCCATGAATTTACAGTTCCAGACTCCCCTGATAAATGAGAAGCTTGGTTTTGGTGGCCATGGCACCCCTCAAATGTCAGTGTTTGCAATCATTGGGGACCCAGTGTGTATAGTTAGAAAATTGCTTTCATTCTCACAGCTGGCAATGTTAATTTGTATAATCAGTATAATACTGATTCTTTTTGGTTTTGTGGGTCATTTCTCTGCAGCCAAGTCCCAAATCCAGCAGCAAAAGGGCTGCACCCCAGCCCAAGTCTCGTCATTCCAAACGAGCCAGAGAAGACACTTCAGAGGTGGCAGCAGCTGACATGGACCTGGACTCTGGTACAGTCACTCTGATTTTTGCTTTTCCTAGTTCCAACTTTTATTTCCAAAATTACTTGCTGAGGATTGAAATGTGAGAGTTAAAAGGGGAAGCCAATGTGTAGTATTTTGGTGGTGGTTAAAGGCAGTGTTGACAGAACCAGCAGTGTCCCACTGCAGTGGCATTTGCTGTGATTGTCACTGTGGTTTTTGTATCTTCTGATACCAAGCAGGAAGTTTCAGGTGTGCTCAGAGCAATTGCAATGTTCAGTTAAAAATTCTGATCTTTTTTTCTCCAGGACCATCCTAAAGAAACTTCTGTTAAGACCCCCAAATCCCTAAATATTTGGGTGAAATAATTTTGCAAGCTTACAGCTTCTTAAAAGTGAGGCAAACTCAGAAGGATTCAGTGTTAAGTGTTAGAACAGCTGGAGAAGTTTCTGGCTTTCCTTTTGAAATCTGCCATGAGGAATCCTTCAGTGTGTCTCAGTGTGGAATGGGTTTGTTCTTAATACCTTCAAGAGTAAATTTTTTTCCTTGAATGGCTGGCAGAGTTAAAATCTCAAAAAAGCTGGCTTTGATGGATATGAAAACCCTCACAAAGTTTGTTCTGTCTCAGCTGAAAACCAAGGATGAGAAAACATAAATCTGGTAGTTAATCAGTGTTGGAGATTTTTTCAGGGATGGCCTAGAAGGCAGCTGTGAGGAGCAGGTTCTCACAGCCTGTTTCTGTGAACAGCAGAGGTTCTCAGGTTATTTTTAATTACAGGTAAAAGTGACAAACATGAAGGCCTTGAGAGCCTTGCACATCAGAGTTCTCAGGCAGCTTTCTCATAACAAGTGGATGTTCTATCTTTGGCTGTTTTGGGAAAGCAAGAATAATTTTGAGAACCCAAATCTTGCTATTGGAAACATAAGGAGGAGTTGGTATGTTATCTCTGACCTATTGTGAGCTCAGATTTTGCAATATGCATGAACTTGATTAACACTGTTATAAAAGGTGATTGATTGATGAATAAAGTGGAGTCGATGCTGACCAATGCAAGGTGGGTCGTCTCCCTCCAACTTCAATATATGGCTAACTTCAATAAATCAGAACATTGGCACTTTGAATCTTGTCCTGGTCAGATTTCAGGTTCTAAAAGTTGTCTTTTAATCTCTTTGTAGATCTGGAAGGAGCACAGAGATCTCAAACTCCCAACAGTTTCCAGTTCCAGCCTCCTCTGCCCCCTGGATCTCCATCCATGTCCACTCCCCCCCCTGTGCCCCAAGGGACACCCCCAGTGACCCCCCCCCAGCCCTCCTCACCCAGGGCTGCCCCAGCCCCCAGTGACAGCCCCCAGCCCAAAATCGTGGACTCAGTGATGGATGAGGACACCCTGACCCTGGAGGAGCTGGAGGAGCAGCAGAGGTTGATCTGGGCAGCGCTGGAGCAGGCAGAGAGCACCAACAGTGACTCTGATATTCCTGTGGACACACCTTTAACTGGCAATTCCCTGACTTCATCACCAGCCAGGAATGAAGCAGATCTGGTTGCAGAAGTCAGGTCACCTGAGAAAGTGATCTCAGTGGAAACAGAGCTTTCTGACATCAGCGAGCAGATCCCAGAAAATGAACATTCTCTAACCAGTCCCAACCTAGAGGACAGTTTGCTTGACTTGAAGGAAAATCCTGATCCTGCAGTTTCTGAGGGCCTGCTGGATGACACCCTGCCTGCTGCCCCCCCTGAGGTCAACGAGGGGGAAAACACAGCTGGTAATAAAGTGCCCACAAGCACTGGATCAGCTGTGAAAAAATCTGGACTTGTTCCTGACATGAGCAAGTTTGCTGAAGGCATCACACCGTTTGAGTTTGAAAACATGGCAGAATCAACTGGGGTCTATCTACGGATAAGAAGCCTCTTAAAAAATTCCCCAAGAAACCAGCAAAAGAAAAAGACTTAAATCTTAATTGGTCTTTAGTTTTGTTATATCCAAATCCCTTCTGTTTCCCCAGCAGTTTTACAAACTCAGATAACCTCCCTCATCTTATGGGAAAGAGAAAATCTTGACAAATGCAGGTCTGCCCTGTTCTTCCTTGGTGCTGAAGTCAGTGCAGGTTTCCATCTTGACCAGGATCACCAATGCAGGCAGCAAATGCAGAATTTTCCCAAATTGCAAGCTCCCACTAAGGAATAACAGGACAGATGATTTGTTAAGACCATTTTATTTGCCAATACTCAAGACTCTAAAATGCAGAGTTTGTGGTTTGGTGTTCATTATTTTGGCTAAGATTTATATTGTCCTTGAGTTTCAGGTGGATTGGTGATTTTTTTAATATCTGTCCTTTGTACAATAATCTATACTTTATACATTTTGCTAATTATCCTGTAGATAAGTTTAATATATTCTGAATGTTTTTAAAAAGGTCTGATGTCAAGATTTCCCACATCAAAGTCCTGGCAATTGGAAGAAAATAATTGGGGATTACAATGCTATTTTCACCATTTCAAGTATTTTTATAAATTATTTATGTGGGTCTGTTTTAACTGCCACTGTATCTTTTGTAGCATTGTCCTTCATGTAAACTTGCTGTACAGACATGTTCGTGTTGTCTACAGAGGTTTAATAAATGAGCTTTTAGCTAAAGAGCTTTTAATTGGAGTCCTGAAGCAGCAAAATGCTGGTTTTTGAAAATCAGCTGCTGAAGAAAGGTTGAGAAAACAAGCTGAGCAAAATAAGGGTGAGTATAGTGAAATATTTTAGGAAGGGCCACAACTGTCAGCTTCAGGTTTTCTTAACCAAGAATCTGTTAAAATTCTCTTAGCTCCTTAAACAGAACCTTGCCATACCGTTCAGTTTTCATAATCTGAAGAGCTGCCCACATCTGAATGCTTAGAAATGTTACAATCATGCTGATTAATTTTTCTAACACTTTCCTTCTTGTCTCGGGAGGGAGCTGTGGCTGCAGTGGCTGCACCTCGTTCGGTTGCCAAGAGAGGGAGCACTAGATTGATGAAAGCATTTTCCTTCCAGAAATGCAGGAAAAGTCTCCCTAGCCAAGTGTAAAGCCCAGCAAACCAAAGCATTTTCAAGTATCTAACAAAAAACTCGTGAAGGGGAATGTCTGTAAGATAATGTTAGAGACTGAACTTAATTCTTTCAAGTTCTCAGCTTTGCAGTTAGTGCATATTGCCAAAGAACTTTAACACACATGCCACTGGTACACTCTGCATTTGAATCTCAATGAGAACCCCAGGTTTTTTTGCAGTTAAAGCCTTTATTTATTTCTGTTTTGTTTCTCCCTAAACTTTACAGGAAGGCAAAACCAAAGCACCTTTATATGTGAATTCTGAGAGGCTGAAAAATCTTTTTGCAGCATTTACCAGTTGAGATTATTTGGCTGCACTTGGAGAGCAAGTCAAGGTAACTTTTCATCATATGTTCTAAAATGAATGGCATTTTCCTTCCTAATTGATAGGAGAAATAGTATTTTTATAACAGGAGTGGACAACAAAATAATGTGCTGCTTCCACCTTCTATACACATTTAAGGAAAGCTCTGTTGGGAAGCAAATGGAGGTCTGGCACTTTTTGCTGCTCCTCCCATGGAGTTAAAAGCAGTAATGAACAGTTTCCAGCAGCCTTTGTGTGCTGCACCTTTGCCACGTGGGTGAGCAAGGGGTGCAGGCAGGAGGTGCTGATGCCAGTGCACCCCTTCTGGGTGTGTTGTGCAGCTCATGTTTGAAACACGCAGCTCTCTCACCACACCTTCAAGATCTGCTTTTCATGGCTCTTAGGAAATGCTGCTGCCTGAGTAGTGTCCGGTTTTCGGCTGTTTGAAGGGCCTGGAAAGGCCCGGGGTGGCCTTGGGGCAGCCCACGTATCAAAGGAACAGAAGAGGCTTCAGTTCTTTTCTCGGTCTCGGTGTTTATTAATTGTTTATCTAAAAGATTTTCTCTCGGCCCGACAGAGCTCTGCTCAGCAGCCAGCCATGAGCACACTCCCTNGGCCGCGCCCGCCCCGGGATGCGGGGCTGGCTGTTGAAACGGCTCTCACTGAATCCCTGCGTTCTACCTTTTAATTCGGCTATAAATAATTACAAATAGCTGAATTGTGACAGGTTCTCTAAAGGGTTTTTGAGTCTGCCGCTGCAGCAGAGTGGAATCTGAAATGTGTCATGATTTAGTGCCCATTTACAAGTACACGTGTACTACCATTACCTTTATTTTGGTGATGATCTCATTCATAATTCCATTTTAAAATAAAATATTACTAGTCTGTTAATATAATTATTGCATGCAATGAATGGCGCTATTTGGATTGTCACAGCTAGTCCTCTTTTCATTTGTTGTTTTTTTCTTTTTTCCAATTTATTGTCTTTCTCCAGCAACAGGTGGATTTTTAAATAATCCCCTGTGCAGTGAAAGGGAAGGACCAAAAACCTGTTTATTGTTCTGTGAAATTCTTGCTTGGTGTTTTCTTGCTTGCTTTGGGTGTGGGTTTGTGTCTTCCAAAGAAAACCATAGTCCTTAACAATAAGTTAACATCAGGAACTTAAAAGGAAGCTGAGAATTCTGACTCGTCCTAGGTATGTTAATGCTGACTTGAAACACTGCATGAATTATATAGAGATAATATATTTATTTGTATATATAAATAGAGTTTATCTAGATAAAAGCTGTCTGTGTTAACAATCTGCCACAGCTGGTTTCCATGTCCCAAACCTTGCTCAGGTCTGGGCTTCTAAAGTGCCATTCCAATTCCTGAATAGCAGGAACTCAGTTGGTGTTGCTGTAACTTTTATTTATTTGTGTTTATCTGTTTAATGAAACTCACTTGGTCTTCAGGGAAGCAGTTTTAGTGTATAAGTTCAGCAGTGAGGAAAAATCACATTCAAATGGGTGAATGAATCTTAGTGAGAAGATTGTATAAGTTTAATAGCAGGAAGAGAATTCTGTTCATACAGAATTAAATATTTCTGTAGTGTGGGGGATGTTTTGTTCTCCTTCCACCTCACACCAACCTTTGCTCAAAAGCATAATTTCTGTTTTAGAGGATAGGGACTTTTTAAAAATACAGATTTTGTGTTGACCAGACCTTCCTCCCTCTGTGGGGCCCAGCCTGAGCTGTGATAAAACTGTGGGCAATATTTACTGTACCCATTGTCTGTGTTCTGTGCTGTTCCAGTGGCATCTCAGTGGAAAACCCCAAAGTTGATGGACCTCTGTTGCAGATTTTATTTATGAACAATGTCATTACTAAGTAAGTATGAAAAAACAACCCTGACAGGAAATGGGGAATTTTTTTGTTTGTTTGGATCTAACAGTGCTGTGCCCAAATCGTAGCTGTAGCTTTTATTCAATAACATAAACTACTGAAAGCTTGGAGTGCAGGAAGGATAATGGGCAGGATAACAAGAGTTCTGTCCATTAGCAATATCTGCTTTTACCAAGAAATGAGAGGGAACTTCCAGGAACTGGGAGTGAGTCTGAAGAGCAGCTTGAATTTCAGCAGTGCTGTGGGTAAAATAGAATTTCATCTTTCCCTGCCTCTGAGTTGTTTTTTTGCCACACTCAGGTGCTCTCAAATATCAGATTGCATTTGTGTTGGTGGGGGTTGAGAGGGGGCAAAAAAGAATTGAATTTTCCCATTTTCTGAGTTATTTACTAAATAAGTGCTTAAGAAAAGAGATGTCTGCCCCTTGTTTCAGCCTTGCTCATGTCTCATCTCTCTCTACTTCATCCCAGGCGGTATCATCAAGAAATTGAAGATTTTATTTGTAGTTTAGTTCAAAAATATGAAGAGCAGAAGAAAAGTGAACAAGAAAAATCACACTTGAATGCTAAGCCACAGGTACTTTAAAACACACATTGTTACAGAATGCTGCTTCTCCATCTCTGTAATGAAAATTTGAAATATTATTGAAATATTGAAATATTATTGAAATAATAACAGTGACAAAAATCAGATTAAGTAGATGTCACAAATGTTTTATAACTTGGTTCCAAAAAATAGAGAGAAAGGAGAGATCCTTTCTGCCCATGAAAATGCTTCTTGAAAATTCCTGAGTGAAATTGCGGTGAAAGAAAATTGGTTTAAATAATTAAGAGGAAAGCTTAATGTATCATCTTCTGATAGTGTTTGTCCCAAGTATGTATAAGAAAACAGATGAACAACAGAATCTGAACATTTACACTTCTCTTGGTTTAAAATTTTGATTCTTAACATTCACTTTGAGTGAAAGGGTGGAATGGCACATTTCTCTGTATCTTTCCCTTTTTTGGTGAGAATGAAAATGTAATTTTGCAGTGTGTTTCTCATCAAGAAAGCCTTGGGAAGGATCTGTGTCATTCTTTGGGCTGTGGGGAGCTCCAGGCCTGACATGGACATCTCCATCCTCCATGCACAGAAGCTGAACCCCAATTCTGTGCCTTTTACATCACTAATTCAGGTGGATTTAAATGAATTATTTTTATTTTTGCTTTTCCTGTCAGCCCTCCAGTGTTGTTCTGGAAGAGGACTGTAAAGGAACCAGCTCAAGTTCTGCTAAAAAAGTGAAAGAAGCTTTTAGTGTAAGTTTTTGACTGTGCTCTTCATTCTCCACATTCAGTGTACACTGCCATTCAAATAAATCTCCTAACTGCTGTTATTACACTGATAAATTTAATTTAAATTCAGCCTGTTTGGGCTACATCATTGCAAAAAAAATTATTTGTACACATTTGGGCTTGTATTAATTGTAAATTCTTACAGAATGGGGGAGTAAAAACCTGGAAGTGTTTCAAGCAGTGTAAATTTATAGAAATGCTACCAATCTCACCCAAATACTGACACATTTCTGACAATTCTCTGACTTTTTTTCTGCAGGTTGTAGGAAGTGTTCTGTATTTTACCAATTTTTGTCTCGATAAACTGGGACAGCCTATTTTAAATGAGAATCCACAGCTGACAGAAGGATGGGAAATACCTAAGTATCCTGTTTGCTAAAACACCTTTCTTTTTGCCATGTGTCAAATCCAAAGAATTCCAGTGGGTAAATTGAACTCCAGTTCTCTTCAGTGGATTTTGTGTGTTTCTAGCAAAGCCAGCCATTGTAGATGGGATGATTTAATGGGTCATTAATGGCTTTTTAATTTAAAACAAATAAGGATTTTGGTATCATTGATTTACTGATTGCTATCCTGAGAGTGAATGCTTTATCCCCATAAATACATCTTGTGAATTTTGGGATTTCCTTGGCCAGTCCTTAATCAGGTTTGGAATGACAGCTCATTGCAGATTGAATGAGAATTATCCCTCCATAAAATCCATTCTTTGGGAGAAGAAAATGCTTTGGGAAACTCCAGCCTGCTGTGAAATGGTTTTTTTCCAAATGTGGGAGCTAGAGGGGAAGTCTTTTATCAAAAATTTAATTAAGGTATGCTCTTAACATGCATCCATTTAAAGTTGGTTCCTTATTAAAGCAAATGTTTGGCTTTTTAAAGCCAATGTTGGAAAAGTGGAATTGAGGGAAATGCTGAAGAAGCTGGGAAATCTTGAAATGTTTTTAGTATTGATGTCTTTGATGGCAAAAGAAATTGGACAAGAAATTTCTCAAGGAACATCATCCCCCCTGGCTCCCAGTGTTGCTGGAAAGACCCAGGACAGGAAGCAGTTTCAGAGTTCATTTCTGCAATATCCAGTTTGTAATCAAGGTCATGTCAGTGTTAGAAAATTATTTATATACGAATATAAATTGCAAATTTAATCTCCCAACCTCTGAGATGAAGGAATTCAATTCCTAATGGAAATTTCTCCTTAGATGCCAATTTAAGTGTGGCTGAAGTGATTCTGAGTGAGATGGTTCATCAGGCACTGCCTTCTAAAGCACCCAGGTCCTGCTCTCAGTGAACCTGTCAGTTTGAAACTCTGTCAAAATGTGGTTTAATAAGATTACTGTGAAACATTTCAGAATTATTATCTGGAAATTTCTACCTGTTAACAAGAGGGTTGTAGTTTTAGCAAGTATTGGATAGAAATTTGTAGGAGGAGACAGCATAAGCTCATCTTAGCAAATACTTTATAGTAAATACCATTTTATAGTTTATACCCAGGACTTCATGTCAAGGACCCATTTGTAATTTAATGCAGATGAGTCAGTGTTCTCTTCAAAGCACTGTTGAGTGTTCATTGGTATTTTAAACAAAATTGAAATTTTGCTTCATCCAGTAGCAGTTCCTTATTGAAATCTAAAGATACCAGCAAGTTTTCAGCCAGATTCTCTCCCTAGATGGACAAGAAATACAAGTAAAACCCAAAAGGTTTGTATTATTCTTAAATGTAAAGTTTTGAGCTGAAAAATTCAGATGCACTCTGTGATTCTTGCCCAGTTAATAAACCCTTGGATATCTTTGAGTAATATTTAAATTTAAATTAAATAAGCCAGATCTGAGCATTGCAGTCAGTGAATCTGTCTTTTTATTGAGTTTCTTTAGGAAGGGCCTAAAATCAGTGTGTGAAAACTTTCTGAATTTTTATACTTAGTTCTTCTGTTTCTTGTCTCTTTAGTGCTTGGTTTGTCATCCTTGCACTGGTCATGGTTACTGTTCTGTAGAACAATTTCTGATTTATTTGGTAGATTTTTAAGACAGACTGATCTGAGAGTTGATGGTGTAGTTTTTCTGGGGGGTCAGAAGTGAAGGAAATTCAGTTTCCAGCTGGAGTTACCTTGGACTTGTGCCACACTTTTTGTCTCCACTTCTGGTTCCCATCCTAATTCAGTAAAACTGAATGCTCGGAAAATAAATCTTCCTCTAAAATCTTGGTATTTCACCCCAGTAATATTGCAAATGTTTCCTGCCGTGGTGTGAATTTACAAGGGGGATTTCAGTTGAAGCCAGCTGCAGTTCCAGTCCAGTTTTCAGTGCAGTTTCACAAAATGAATTACTCGAAACTGTGGGCCAGGGCTTTCCAAAGAAATAGTTTTGCTCTGCTGTTTGTTTCTGCTGATTCCCAGTATTGTGGAAGGGATCAGACCTCTGGTGATGCCATTTCCTATTTCCCTCTGCCCTTTCCTCATTTCCCACGTTCTCCTTAGCACTGTGAAATCAGCAATATTCTCTATTTAAGGACTGATATAAGTTTAAAAGAAGCAGATGACATCATTGATTTTATCTTTCTCAAGTCTAAACCTTCAAATCTGTCGAGAATGAAAACAATTAGGTGTATTTAACATTACAGAGCTGCTTTCAGGTTTAATTATTTGTCCATTTCTCAAGCAGGCCCAAACCTCATTGTTTCAATTGTGGTTCTGAAGACCATCAAATGAAGGAGTGCCCAAAGGTAAAGTCCCCAGGGTTGCACAGACTGCTGCTCTCCAGGCTTTGTGTGGGGTGAAGGACTCATCCACTGTGAGTTGTCCAACTTTAAACTTGCCCATTGTGTTATCTTTAAGCCACGAAATGCAGCTCGTATAAACGAGAAGAGAAAGGAGTTTTTGGAAGCTTGTGGGGATTCGAGCAATCAGAATTTTCAGCAGCGTTACCATGCAGAAGAAGTAGAAGAGAGGTTTGGAAAATTTAAGCCAGGAGTAATTAGGTATCTCTTTCTTTCCATTTGTTTTTCTGGAATACCTCTTCTGCCTTTGGAGTGCCAGATTTTCATTGCTAGAGTTTATTTAGTCCACCTGCTGCTCTTAACTATTATGTTAGAATTTGCTAAATGGAATTTAAATAAATTGTAGAGCTGTCTTTCAAATGAAAACTCACTGCTGTCTTGACAGTCCTACCCTTTCTCTAATGCAGGGTGACTTTTCAAATTGTATTATGTTCCTACTAAAAATGTATTCCAAAGTCTGCAAATTTTGAGTTTTGAGTGTCCCTTCCTCTCTATTCAAAATGTTCAGAGAAATCATGGTATTGTGTGGCAGTCCCCAAAAAAATCACCAGTAAGTTCAGTGTCAGGGTCCACCCTTCCTGTTGATAGCTGCAGTCAAGGCCATGAGTCAGAAGCAGTAGGTCAAGTGTGTTATTCTTGGTGTAGAATTAATTCTAATAAAATGTTTAAGCATCTCAGCAAGGCAAAAAGTTCTGTTTAATATCAGAGCTGATTTTCATTTCTATCTGGGGTGGAAATGCAGCACACTCTGACCTACAACTCACTGAAAACTCCACAAAACATTCATAACCTTTTTGTCACTGACTTGAGGGATTTTTCTGGGTGACATTTTGTTGTCTGTTTGTTTCCTGGGCTCAGTGAGGTGCTGCAGGATGCCCTGGGTGTGACCGACAGGAGCTTGCCCCCGTTCATTTACCGCATGCGGCAGCTGGGCTACCCCCCGGGCTGGCTCAAGGAGGCCGAGATGGAGCACTCGGGGCTGGCNGCAGCCCAAGCTAAAGCAGTGCTGGTGGTTTCTGTGAGCAAGGCAGAAGAGCACACAAAATAAAAATCATCTTTATGTGCTCAGAACCTTTCAGTGCTCTGTATGGTCTATCCTCAATCATATTCCACATAATTAATTGGTCACAACAGATAAGCAAAACAAGTTGTGACTAAAGTAATTTCATCTGTTATTCTTTTGTCTTTCGAACTGCCATGTTATAAATGTTCTTGTAATGCTTATTTTATTTCTTAAAATAATTTTTTTTTGATATGTTTTGATCTCAGAAAAGCAGGCAGGGACTGTTGAATTTCTGGATTTAATTTTAGTAATTTAATTTCAAATAAGGATAAATCATACAAAATTCTCTGAGAGCACTCAGGGGTATCTTTAAATTGTTCTTTTAAATCTTCTCTTTGGAATTGTCCTTTCTTTGGAGGTGGCATTCAGCGTGGATAGTGCTGTGAGAAAACTGAAGCAGTGAGTAAAACTCCTCCTGTATTTACCTGTGCTGTAAGACACAGTTAATGAGGGATGGGCAGTTTTGTCTGCTGCTTCTCTCATGATGAGGAATTCATTCATCTGCAGCTCTTAGCTATTTATCTGTAATCCACTGTTCTATCAAGTGCTACATATTGCACTGAGGATGTTTGTAATTAGGGAGGTTTTTAATCTGTCAGCTGTAACTACTCAAATGGGTTTTGTATATTGAAACTGCAATCAGATCACACTCTTGAAGCCCAAGGAAAAGCTGAATAGCAAAGTATTTTGAGTCCTTTAAAGTGCCATTCCCATGGTGATGGGTGTGGCATAATAACATAGATTAGAGTTTACTGAAATGAATGAGTAATAAAATCTGTAATGAGGTGGGTATAGCATGGGCAGGCATCACTCACATTTTCCCACAGATTCCTGTTGGCATAGCCCTCGTGTTTATTTACAGCACTTGGAACACCAGAAATATTTTAAAATGCTGATGCACGTCTAAAAAATCAAATCTCTGCAAAATATTCTGGGTATCAGTCAGGTGGGAAGTTGTGTCTTAAAAAGATCCAAATTCCTGACTCTAAAATTTTATAACCCAATTCACAGCGCTCAAAACGTCAAGAAAAGAGAAACAGCAGAGATTCTAGAAGATATCTGAAAGACGTGGTAGCTGCTAAAAATAATTATTTCACTGCAAGCTCTGTGAGGCAGCATGGCTGGGAAATAAAAAAAAAAAAGAAAAAAAAGAGAAATGAAGAGGAGGAAAAAGCTCCAATGCAATGCAAGTGCTTCAGTTGCCATGGAAGCCCGTAGCACCTTCCTTGTGTGCCATGGCTGAGCTGCCATGGGAAGGGAAAGCACTGGATTGAAGATTGCTGCTGTTCCTGAGCACGGGGCAGAGTCACTGCTGCATTTTGGGGGTGGCAGGGGATGAGTCAGAGGGAGGAATTGGTCCTGATTCCTGGAGCAGCTTTTAGAAAACAGGATGGGTTTAATAGCCTGGTAATTACTGTGTGACAATTGGGCACTTCCTAGACTTCAGACACTACAGCAGCAGAGGTGTTATGTAAGATTTTTTGCAGTGTGTGTTTAGTTGTGACCCAGGACTGAATGAAAATTTATTTACCCCTTCTTTAGAATTCAGCACTCCATAAGAACAAAATCCTTCTGCTTTGCTTTGCTGTAGGTGAGAATTCAGCTTTTATTGCTATTTACATAAGTGCTGGAATGATTTGCATCTTTATTAATAGACTGGTTCCTCAGTTATCAGGGAAATGAAACAGCAAGAGGAACATTACTGTTAATTTAAGCATCTTGTTTAAACCAGAATGCAGAAAGGATTCTTTTTTAATTTGTTCAAATATTGCTCTCCATTGTTTTAGCCATGGTACAGCAGAACAAATAATGTAAAATTGGATGAAGGCTTGTCTTGAGTAGCTCACCAAAGAACATGGGTTTGGAGAGCTTTGTCTTTTATTGCTGCTGGGCAGTCTGGCTGACCTGGGGAAGGGAAGCAGTAAGTACATTAGCAGTGAAAAGAATTCTTGCAGCCTTTACAGAAAAGAAAATACAGAAAATAGTAGTGCAAGTGCTGGGATTTTTGAAGCAGCACTTTTGAGATTAAAAAAAAAAGCAATTAGCTGCCTTTTCTGTAGCAGATGTGACCATCAGTTCTGTATAGGAATTGCCAGATGTGCATATTGAAGAGATCATTCAGATGGAAAAAAAATCTTTACTCAGAATTCTTGTACTTGGGTGAATACATCCCATTAAATAGAAAAATGGATTTCTTCTGTCAAGAGATCCTTACATTCAGAGGACAACATTTCAGCTCTTTAGAAAGCTTGAACAGCCTTGGAGCCTTCACAGATCTGGAAAAGGGCAGAAACAACTGCAACTGGTGTTCCCACATTATTGAGAATTCTAATTTCCAAGTGAGCCATGTACTTGTGGCCAGGATGGCAGCAGTTATGTTGGCATCCTGAATTTCCCTGGAGCACCCAGCAGTTCCTGTTCTCATGGAATTATGAAAATGCCTATATATTATTTGTTGACTGATCTGATCATGCAGATCAGAAAACAGCCACCAGGACTGGAATCAAAGATATTCTGGCTTTCAATCATGGCTAATCCTGTACAGGAGTGTGGGTTATAGAACCAGGATCTTTTATTACAACGATTCCTACAAATTGGCTGTGCCCTGTGGGTGCAGACTGGTACCCAGAGGCTGTCAGCCGTTTCCAGCTGGGATGAACTGAAGTTGCAGCTGCTCCAAAGCTACATTGTCATGGTATGAAGTTGATTCTGGTCAAAGAATTGATAACAAACTCTCTTTTTTCCTACAGGATCTTGAAGCTGAGTCTGTTCAGTAGGAAATTACTGGAAAAAACAGTGGCACATTCCCTTGATCTGTGTGACATTCTCAATTCCTGCCTTCATCCAGGACATTTTTACCATAGCTTTACAAGGGAGTGAATCAAAATATTTACAGATTTAAACATATTTTATCCATTATTTCCCCCACTGTTGCTGCTCCCACGTGATGACAAGTTGTACAATAACAGCACAAAGTTGCAACTTCTAGTTTTCATCTTTAAGCTGTCATGTAGTGGCTGTGCTGTGTCCTAGATGCATCAGTCTGATATTCTTTATACAAATTTAATGCTGTGCACTCAACTGCAAGCATTTGAGATGGACTTACATGGTGGCAAATTAACTGAGAGACAAAACATCAAATTAATGATGGAGAATGATAGAGAAAAACCCAATCCACGTTAGCATCACATCAGTACAGAAAGCTCAGATCTGCACCACCAGAAGGAAGCACAGAGGTTCACCACTACAGCTCTCTTAGGCAAGTGTTCTGTAAAGTTGTACAACTCTCCAGTTTCTACCCTTATTGCAATTTTTGTGGGATTATTTCCATAGCTAGGGGCTGCAGGGTCATTTTTTTTTTAAAGCAATCCTTTGCCGACTCTGCACTTCTGAATACAACCCAATGTTTAAATCCTGAAGTCCTTATTCAGCAAAACTTTTATCAAATTTTGCAGGGAGAAAGAGGGGTGGCTGTGCATGGATTCAAATTCTGTTTCACCATATAAAGGCCATGGCAAGTGATTGTGTTTAACCTTTAGGAAGTGAAATTCTAACAAACATTGCTAAATGCTGATGTAGTTGAAACCTGTTATTCAGGGGAGCGCATTACCCCATTTTGTGCTTTACCGTGCTGGATTAATGCCAAAGAACGAAGCCAAAATGAAACACAAATTGCAATCAGTCCCCAGCAATGGAACTGCTTTCTCATCACCCTTTTGTTCGAATGGCATCATGCAGAAACCCAACAAGCTATGAGGCTGCAAACTGAGGTTTGCTTTGTGAGGAATTGGGTGGTGATGGGCCAGCTCTGCCTGTTTATAAGAGGGGAAGAAGTGGAGCAGAGCTGTTTGATTCAGCCTTGAAAATCGGTATTAAATTGTCGATGGCGGCATTGGAGCTGCTGCTCCAGCTGTTTAAACTTTAGCAGTGGGATAACGCCAGCTTCCAATGTGTTGCTTCACAAACACAATGAAAATAAAAATATTCAGTACTTTGGGATAATAAATTTCTGCATGATGAATTTCTGGGCATCAGGACAAAAGGAAAATGGAGCGAAGCAGCAGACAGTGAAGTTATTCACCCACTAGAGCGATGTGCTTCACACCTCCCCGTCTGTGCCCACCCTCTCCCCCTCCCACCCAGCCGGGCTGTGCCGCAGCGGCGGCTCCGG